AACACCTGGGTTTTAACATATTCTGCCTTCTCCCTTGTCTTTGATCAGGAAGCTGATAGACTTTTCCCCATGCTGTTTGAATATGGGTTGTATCCACAAAAATTCATCTTGAAATGAAATCCCTCTTAGAGGATATTAACAGGTGAGTCCAGACAGCCTCAAGAAGTGATGATGGGAGGGCCTGGAGAGATGGCACCGAGGATGTGAGCACCCGAGCTGTTAGAAATGGGCCTGGGGTCCCAAGAAAATGACAACACAATCCAAAGTATCCCAGCAAGTCAGATTGGTCACGTCAGCAGACAAGCACACACAGCCAAGGGCCCACTGGGTTTTATTTCCACCGCAAAGGTCGTGTGCCTCATTTTGAGCGGTCAGAGCTGGGTCTCACACTTCCATGCAGTGTGATAAGCACATTGCAATTGGCAACAGAAGGCAACTTGTTGGCATGTATTTTGACTTCAAGAAGTGTTGACCCTAGAGGAATTCAGATTTCTGCCAATTGACTACTTTACCATTTTTTAAAGTAAGAGTTTTGTCTGACTTAATTCTTTGACAGAAAAGAGTACGTTTTATTCGTCTTTCTCTCATAGTTCTTAATGAGGACTCTGGGTGGTTCCCTTCACTCACAATGGATGCTGGACCATCCAACTTCCTTTTCTGGTTTCTGCAGGCACTGCATGCAGGCAAAATGTATCAATGCATTTCAATTGACAGGATCTTTGCTCTTGTGAGTAATCCTGTAGGTTAACAGGTTTGTGCATTATCTAAAAGCCAGTTTGCTCTGGGATATCTCTTCTCCCTGGCTCACCTTTTTGGGTGCCCTGCACCCATCTTGGACATGACATCTGATACCAAGTAGAGGGAAATGGCCACCCTGGGATTCCCTGAGGATGCTGGATATTTCCTCAGTGTCAGTGTACTGCACTAGGCATTATTATAGGACTGATTTTCCTTTCCTCTGTATTAAGGGGCAAACACAGCAGGTGCCTCCTATCACTTCCACCATGTTTTTTCCCTCCTCACTGTCTTGAAGGTGGGGTTTAAGTGCATTCACCACACCCACGATAAATGATAAATAGGTATTTTATTGGGGAACAACTTACACAGAGAAGAGTAAATAACCACAGAGGCCTTCCTGTGCCAGAAGAAGCAGGCTCTGCCCTTCCCATGCTCTCTTCCACCCAATAGAGCCTGTGCCCCCACCCTCACCTTAAAGGGCACACGAAACCACGCCCAAAGGGTGTAGACACTACTACAAGTTCACTGGCAAGGCAAGATGCCACTACACTATCTGGTTTTTCCATTTGTTTTCAGTCTCTGGACTCCAGAAAGCACTCTTAAGCAGACATCTAACTTGCACTCTCTTCTTTTTCCCATCTTCCTCTTATATTTTTGGTTGTGAGCCTAGCCTTTATGGCTGAGCCATCTATCCAGCCCTCCCACTTTTCTCAACAAATCAGAGGCTAACTCAATGTGTAGCATCTACATCTTTTTCCTTTTTCTTTCTTTCTTTTTTTTTTTTTTTTTTGGTCTTTCGAGACAGGGTATCTCTGTGTAGCTTTGGAGCCTGTCCTGGAACTTGCTCTGTAGACCAGGCTGGCCTTGAACTGACAGAGATCTGCCTGTCTCTATCTCCCAAGGATTAAAGGCGTGCACCACCAACGCCCTGCTCCATCTACACATTTTTTCTCCTCTGTAATCCCTCTCTTATGGAGCAAGTTTTTCCTGTGAAGACAGCTGAGCCTCTGTTGCATGTCTTACTGTCAACAAAAAAGTGCTCATAACTGACATCAGAGTCTGCATATCATCCTATCCCAAATGTGCTGCTTCCTGGGGCATTGTCCAGCCCATCAGTGTTTTCAGCATCATTACTATGCTCACATGGTAGACTCTCTTCAGGGAGGCTGCCATATGGGACCAGGTAAGGAAGATGGGCCACCCTAGGATTCTCAAGCTTACTCCATTCTCAGGTGGCTTGCCTATTGCCTGCTGCTGGGAGCATGTAATCACCACAGCAAAGTGGCACACCATTAGACACCACATGGGAAAGGTAGCCATAATGGGATTGCCCCTGAAGCTACTCCAGTCTCACAGGGACCAGCCTCAGCCATGAGTCCCAGCACCCATTTCAGGACCCACTCACCACCACACCCATCATCCATGGCTCTGCCAAGTCCCTTTAGGGATGCCAATTGTTTTTTTTGTTTGTTTGTTTGTTTGTTTGTTTTTCGAGACAGGGTTTCTCTGTGTAGCTTTGGAGCCTATCCTGGCACTTGCTCTGGAGACCAGGCTGGCCTCGAACTCACAGAGATCCGCCTGCCTCTGCCTCCTGAGTGCTGGGATTAAAGGCGTGTGCCACCAAAGCCCGGCCTGTTAGGGGTGCCAATTGTGATATGGGACTTTTCTTGGGGAAATTTCCTATTTACCCCAAATAGGATACCAACACCAACACTATACTAAAGAAAGAGGATTGTCCCAAGTGTCTAAGCTCACTAAGGTTGCTGACAGAAGTTTAGGTTAGGTGAGGGGTTACTTACAGGACACAGGAGACTCAAAGACATCATTGAAAAAAAAAAAAAAAACTATGCTAGCATGGGTGTGACTAAGGAGAGCTGCATTCCTGGGACTCCAGGAAGGACCTGCAAGCCACTTGGCCAGTTAGAGAGGCTCCTCTCCTCCTCAATTGCACTTGCTTATATAGCCTTGGGCAAGGACAGCCTTGTGGCTCTTGTAATGGTCAGTAGCTCCCTGAGCCTTTTGTATTTCCTTTACTTCCAGTGTCTTCTGAGCCACCCTGTCACTCTAGGAGGAAAGCAGCTACATGACATGCTGTGGTGCTATGGTGACAGAGCTCCTCAGGCTGTGCAATGTATAAAGACTAATGTCTTTTCACCAATCTGGCTCTGGAAGCACAAGCTTAAGATACTGGTAAGTTCTCTATTAGTTCTGTTCCCAGAGGGCCTGGTTTTGACTTCCAAGATGGTGTGCTGTTGCTTCTTCCAACATGGAAAACAAGCAGAAGGCCAGAAAAGGGGCCTTGCTAACTTCCTCCAGCTCTTTCATAAGGCCCTCATCCCAGCTGTGAGGACAAAGGCTGCATGGCCTAACCATCTCCTAAAGGCCCCCTCTTGATCCATTTGCACTGCATCAAGTTTCAATACAAATTTGGGAAGGAACACAAGTACACAAACCACAGCAGGCTTCTAGACAATGAAAACTAGGCTAGGGTGGTGTGGTTAATTTTGTGAACTATGGTGAACACAGATATTTGGATGTTCTGTGAGGGGGTGAGATAGGAATAGGTATTTGGGGGCTGGAGGGCCACTCAGTGGCTAAGAGCACTGGACACTCTTGCAGAGGTCTGGGGCTTAAGTCTCAGCACACAAAACAGGTCACAACTGCTTGCAATTCCAGCTCCAGGGGATGTGATGTCCTCTTTTGATCTTCACAGATATTGTAAAAAAACAAAACAGATCCAAACAAACAGGTGTAAGAGGCGTCAGGGAGTTCCGTACAGCCAGGACTGCAATGAAACAACCAGCTACCCCAGGACGTGGCAGCAACCCAACCTTCTCGGGTCCCCCAAAGATGGTCCACGCCCCCCACGTCAGCAGGAAGCAGTCTTGAGAATTCGACGTCCTTATTCCTTAACCTGCCATGTCTTACACCCCTTCTTTTTTTTAATAATAAGTAGAGTTGGGAATGAAAGGTTCAGGCTTTGACGCTGATCGGCTCTACCTCTTTAAGAGACAGACCCTGCCCCCTGACAACAATCAGGGCACGCACAAGAAAACATGCTACATCATCACCACGTCACCCGCCATGCATGAGGACTCTGAGGATTCGTGGAACCTCATTGCGCATGCTTCCCTTTAAAAGCTCCAACTTTCCTCTCTACTCTCTCTCTGCTTCCTCTCCTTATGCCGCTTCTCTACTCTCTCTTTGTTTCTTCTTAGCTCTCTCTCACCTATGTGTTCTTTCTGCCTCTCTACGGTGACCGGCCATGGCGGTCAGCCATTACCCCTGTTCCTCTTCTCTCTTAGTCTCCCTACTCTGCCGGGCCATATAATAAACTCATCATGTCTCATCAAAAAAAAAAAAAAAAAAAAAAAAAAAAAAAAAGGGAAAAAAAAAAAAAAACCAAAAACAAAAAAAAAAAAAAAAAAAAAAAAAAAAAAACAAACATGGTACACATAAAGACATGCACACACATAATTAAAATGAATATTAATAAACAGATACTCAGTCTAAGTATCTGATTCCTGACAAAGCTCTGAAGCCCTTTGAAAGTCACAGAATGTCTTTGATTGTTCATAATTCCCCTTTAAGCATACCTGAGGAGTTTAATGTCACACAGATAATGGGGCTGCTTGCCATAACTATTTATGTAGTGAGAAAGTTGGGACTTTTGGCTCTGTCCTTTGAGTGCTTGACCTCAAGGGGAATAAATACAAGATTGGAACTGAGTTAATCTCCAATAGCCAATGATTTAATTATGTCTGTGTAACCGGCCTCCATAGAGACCTTGAATGGTAAGGTTTGGAGAGCAGATTCACAAGTCTGAAGTGTGGTTTGCTTCAACTCTATGTAGACGAAGAGTCTTCTTCAGTGTGAGTCAGGAGGTTGGCACTTTCTGTAAAGAGGTCAGTACTTTCAGTTTGGGGTCCTATGTTCTTACAACAGCTGGTGCATTGACAAAAGTAGCCATAGTGAACACACAAACAAATGAGTGTAACTGCCCCAATAAAAAATTGTTTTTGGAAGCAAGTGGCTAGGGATCTGGTCAGTGGAATGTGCTTGCATATCTTTGGTCTAAGGTAGCTTTAAACCAAGGCCTACTACTTGTCATTCTGTTTCTTAAACAAAAGCAGAGACTGACTAGACAGTATTTACCAATCCATTTCAACAACTACTACATGTCCTTAGCCTATGAGAAAAAAAATCCCCATTGGTTATGAATTCCTGAAATACAAGCCCAATGAATAATTTGAGGCCCAGCAATTCAGAGACCATTTTATTCTCAAAGCACATTCATTAACCAATTTCAAATGAAATCTATAAGCTAGTCAATTACAGGTTCAGAAATGATTACAATAGACTGTAACTATAAAAACCAATAACAACCTTTAAAAATCAACAATAAAATAAAACAACCACGAGTATTTAATTGCATATTTGTAGCTTTAAAAAAAATCATCAAATGTCTATCCTGTCTTTTGCTGATGTGGACGCTATCCACCAAAGGATTCCATATTCTTTACCTTGACAGGAATAGGTTCCTTCCTTTTAAATCACTTACTGGCTTTTAGCATAAACTCCAATGACTGAGTAAAAATATATCACTATCAGCAAATGCAATGTTTATGTTTTACTTTCTGTAAATTTATAAAAAAATTTACAGAAGCAGATATGGAAAAGTGATTTCTTAAAGCCAATAACAATTACTTCAAATTTTAATAGAATACCAATCATACTTCAAAATCTCCTAGTCTATACCACACCCCTCCAAGGCTTGGGGGACATGGGGGAAGATGAGGTGAAAAGACTGTACAAGTCAGAAGTCCAGGAAGACTGAATGAACCGACATCTTCTGGTTATGACAGGACCCCTGTACTCACAATTTTACAGCAGTGGAGGAGGCTGCCTCCACAAGATAAACCAGTTAACATCCCCAGCATGGAACGGGCAGGGTCTCACAATCCCCCAGCCCTAGCTGAGGAGCTACTGACAGTTACTGGCTTCTGGTGAGGGAGAGTAAGTTTTCTTTAGGGGTATGGTCCCTGGTAGATGAACCATGCTCCAGTGGATGGCCCCCACCCATGAGCATATATGGGCAGCACAAATTAGATTACTCAGTGGGTTATTTAAAACATAAGAACATGAAGTTGTGAGGAGGGGCGGGGGTAGGCCTGGGAGGAGTTAGGGGGAGAGTGTAATCAAAACACATTTCATGCATGTACAAAATTCTCAAAGAATTAATAAAAACCATTATATCGAAATATTGCCTACTCTAAATCCTAAAGACTTAAAGAAACATTTTCTTCATTTTAAATCAAAAGGCCATTTTGGATCCTAGTAGGCAGGAGATCTAGCAAATAAGAGATGACATTACAGAACTTCATGGCACGTCCATGGCCAGGCTCTTTCCCTTAGGAGAAAGAATTCTAAAATGTTATCTGAGATCAAGCTTTAAGATCATGGTTTTATTTAGCTTATATTGCTGAAAATTCTGTTGGGTATCTCAAAGATCCACAATTAGTGCAAAAAAAAAAAAAAAAAAAAAAAAAAAAAGGACATGACATGAAGTCATTCTTTCCCAGCAGAAACATGGCTATGAAGTCATGTGTAGTTTCTTACTTTGCTTTCTGAAAGCTAGCACATATAAAAATAGATTGACATTAGGTTTAAGTCACATATATTATAAGCTTTATTTTAACTGCAAAAATATTTTAGCTACATTTAGTGGAAAATAAACTTACTGAGACTATAAACTGCATATTTCTAGAAGCCAGATGTAAGAATACTGATTATTTTTCTTGTAAGTGGATACATGCCTCAAACTTCTGCCAGCCATTTTGTAGGAATGAATACACAGAAAACACTGCTCCTGTGTGGAGCGTCCACATCTGCTGTCCCACACTGCTCCATCTGGTAAGGCTTTGGTGTAGGTCACTCCCAGAACTCCTGTTACTTATCTTTCTTCTCTGCCCCTTTCTTCTCTTCCTCTGTCTGCTTTTCTGTATTTCTTCTCACAACTGTGCTTGCTGCTTCTCCTTGGCTTTCCTTCTGAGAACTGTCGATGATCTGATAGTCCTCAAGGAGAGTGTGCCCCGTCTGCTTCGCAGTTTTCTTCACCATGGCTTTGATGCCAATGTTGTCAATATTGTAGGCAGTGAGACCAACGTTGATAGCAGAGTCCACCACGTTGTGTGTAGCTTCTCCTGCATTGTGCCCATACCTTTAAAACAAAAAGGGCAAGAATATAACAATGACATCCACAGTGTTTCTGAAAACATTCTTCTGAAATCAATAGTGATTGATTGTATGATTTCTGTGCCATTCTTGAAGTTTAGTTAATAAGTGAAGACATGGGAGAGAATAAAAACCACAGTTACAAAGCTGTACCTCCCCTTTCAGCAAAAAATGTGTGAAGATAAAAGACTAGCTAGAATAGTAATAAAAATGGTGAAAACCCCCTAAATGTAAATCAAAACTAACATTGTTAATCATTTGTTTAAATCTCCACTTCTCTTCTTGAAGTAATAAATGTAGATGTTTCTTAACCCACAAGCATCACAAATGCATCTGGCATCACAAATACCCCTTAATTTAGCAGTGTCTAAGGGACAAAGAACCTCTGGCATCACGAATGCCCTTAAACCCTGAGTGTCTACTACAGGACATGGAACCTTCAGCACCACAAATGCTCCTTAACTATAAGTGTTTGATTTGCCTTTAAGCAGACAGAGATCCTGTGACATTCTCCTGGCACCCCACTCCACTGCCAACTCACTGGCCATCTTGCTGTCTTTAAAACCCACAAAATACCACAGAAGCCCTGGATGTCTGCTCTGTCTGGTCTCTGTTCAGATATGTCATACCTGGAGCTCTCACCTGCCTTGTGTTCTCTGCTACCTTTTTAGTTCTAAACTGCATAGATAGCCTTGGTCCATGCACCCCACTGCACTAACAAGCAAGTCTGCCCTTTCATCCTCCATAGTTCACCATAGACATATACACCATATACACCATCAAATTGTTTATATCTTTGTTTATCTCACTAAAATATGAACCCCACTGCAGAGGGAACTCTGCTTTGTTCACAAATGTACCTTATACTTCTGAGTGTCTGGCATCCAGTAAGTGTCTAATGAATGAATGGTATGATCAGTTGTGGCATTATCTCCCCCCTCTCTCTCTCTACTCCTCCTCCTTCCCAGCCCTCCTTCCTGCATGGCCCAGGCTGACTGCAAGCTCAACCCTTTAGCCTCTGCCTTCCACCGCTGGGATTACATGCAGGCGACAGCATGCCTGACCTGTCTCAGACTCTTCACCCATCATGGACAGGTCACTGTACAGACAACTGCACACCCATATTTATCACTGCTCTTTGCTGTAGTCAGGTGACAGAATCATGTAAGGGACCATTATTGGATGAATGGAGAAAGAAAAGCGAGAGAAAACTAATGAGCTACCAACACAATCTAGCTTAATCTAGCAATAAGGAAGTGAACTGTTGTTGTTAGAAGGGAAGTGAGGAGAACTATGTTCAGTGACAGAAACCAGTCTCACAAAGACCACTGCTGAATTGTTTCTTTTACACATGTAACTTGGGGTGGGTGAAGCATTTGAGAGTGAAAAGTAGAGTCTATTAGGGATATAGAAGAAAAGGGGCACAGAAAGGGCAATATGCATGCATGGAAATATTATAATGAAATTTACTGATGTGCACAATTAATATACAGCAATGAAAATGAGAAATTATAAAAGTCTACAAAAGTACTTAATATTGACAATGCCAGTAAAGTCTTGAACACAGTGTCTCTGAGAAAATAAATCTGAACTATATGAGGAAGATACCACGATATACCTCCCTTACCCTACCGTGATGACAGGCTTTTACAGGCTGGTCCACAAAAGCCTGCCTGTACAACAGCCAAAGCCAAGGTTCAAATCCCCTACACAGAAAATTTCACAGAGAGGGCTGTGGCCTCTGAACTTATTACATTTATTAATTTACTGGAGCGTGTGAGAAGTCAGGGGTCGGTTCTCTTCCTCCATCCTGCAGTATGGAGCTCAGGTGGACAGGCGTGGTACTGACTCCCAGCCCTGGACATTTTTTTTTAAATAATTTTTAGAAGATTTATGTATTGTGTGTATAGTATTCTGTCTGCATGTATGCCTTCTAGCCAGAAGAGGGCATCAGATCTCATTACAGATGGTTGTGAGCCATGATGTGGTTGCTGGGAATTGAACTCAGGACCTCTGGAAGAACAGCCAGTGCTCTTAACCTCTGAGCCATCTCTCCAGCCCAGACCTGGACATTTTATAAGAACACTGATGTGCTTTTTGCTTTAAGGAAATTCATTGCCAGCCTGCCTGACTAGAACAGGCTTGCGACACCCTGGCTTTTCCAATGCAGTACTGTGAGTCCATAGCCATCTTACAGTGTCCTGGATGGCTCCCCAATCTTTCCTTAGCATGGAATTAATAATTACAACCAATAGAACCCACAGCCAGCCAAAACCTTTCTCAGGACCATCCTGCAATGGGGACTTACTCGTTAGGCACAAGACAGAAAAGCTTCCTGTAACTGCTTTCTGCATTGTGAAGGACTGGATGCCCTGTAGAAGAGACACTGCAGCCAACAGTGGATCTCAACAGATCCACCAGCTGACTCAATGAAAGAATGAAATGTGAGTGAGCTTCAGCTTGGAAAAGTGACCATAACCCTCTGACAATGACAACCAGGAAATCTTTAAAGCCAAGTCTGAGAAGATACAAGACAGCAGAACATATCCTGGAAGATACTTTACAGCACTGTGGGGATCACACAAAAATGCTGCTGAGTTTAGCTATGAACAGGAAGTTGCCCAGATGTATAAATGCCCAACTCTAAATAGCTGTAACTGTTCAGCCGTTTGATGCCCCTCATGGAATGTGATATTTTTGTGTACAATGAACTTGTAAAAACTACAGAGTCCTTGATGTGTTAAATGAGTGTTTGGGTCTCTTCACTACTTGTTCTTCAGGCTGTGACAACTGCTCCAATGTAGAAAACTCACACCAAGCTGGGACTCAGGAAATGACATCAGACACTACTATGCAAGCAACTTGGCTATAAGACCTTGGCTAACTCTCCTCATTTTTGTACTTCAATCTCTCTGTATGTATGTATGTACGTATGTATGCATGTATGTGTGTATGTATGTATGAAATCACGTAGAAAATTCCAAGTACTGAGCTATACACTTTATGTGGCTTTCAGTTACTATGTTCATTTTTTAATATGTCCTTATTTATTAGCCTTAATATCCCTTACATACAATTTTCCTAATAGACATCTATTCCTCTCTTCCTAGATAATCAATCAATCAGCCCCTTACTGTATTTCAACTCAAAATGCACTGCTCAAAACTCCTCAAGAGCATGGATCTGGGTAAGAACCTAAAGCTTAGTCTTGATTTTTTATTTCTTAATAAATGAGATCTTCAGTTACACCTCAAGGACAAACACCACAACTGGAGGACAATAAAGTGACTGTGAAGATGTCCTAAGTCAGAGGGTCTAATGTGTGATTTGAATCAGAATTGTTCAGATACGCCCAATATGGTCACTGATGTCTACAGGGGCAGAACACTGCAGTGAGTCAAGATTTTAGGATTAGTGCTTCAGCATGACATCTGTCGTGTCAATCAAAGCCATATGAGGCCATCAATACTATGCTCAGAAATAGTGACCTGAAATATTTAAAGGAGAAACAGATCTTATTCACCTATTTATTGAAAGTAGGCAGGCTGTAGCTAGTTTAGGAAGGCCATGTAGATGAAGCTAAGGATTTTAAGTTTTTCATGAGAGCAATGGAGGAAAAAAATAAGCCAAGGAATGGAATGGCCAAATGCATGTTTCTGCAAACAGTGCAATGCAGTGGGAATATAAGGCAGGAAACAGCTGTGTGCCAGACAAGAAGGGAAGGTGCCTGTGAAGGGAGGGCACAAGAATGGGGGCAGTACATGGTGCCTTAAATCTGTAACGGCACATGATGAGCCTGGAGAGTAGAACAAAAATAGACTTGAGACTTGTTGGTGCAGAGGTAGAAATTACACCCATAGGCATAGATGACTGTGCTTGACAGTTTTATGTCAGTTTGACACAAGATAGAGTCATTTGAGGGGAATCCTCAATTAAGGAAAAGACCTCTATAAAATGGGGCTATAGGAAACCCTGTGGGGCATTTTCTTAATTAGTGATTGATGGGGGAGGGTCCAGCCCATTGTGGGTGGGGTCATATTGGGGCTGGTGGTCCTGGGTACTAAAACAAAGTAAGCTGAGCAAGCAATGAGGAGCAAGCAAGCCAATAAATACCTCTCCATGGCCTCTGCATCAGCTCCTGCCTCCAGGTTCCTGCTCTGTATGAGTTCCAGTCCTGACTTCCTTCAATGATGAACAGTGATATGGAAGTATAAGCCAAATAAACCCGTTTTTCCCTAACTTGCTTTTGGTCACAGTGCTTCATCACAGCAATAGAAACCCTAAGAAAATGACATTATCCAAGAAACAAGGAGGCTGAACTACAGTAAAGCTCTAGAAAGAACCAAGATATGTAATGAACATGGCTGGAAGACTCAAGCCTTGGGGAGTGAGTGAGTGAGATGAGATCACTGTTGGGTGAACCACAGACTGCTAACCTTTGGTCTTAAGCATTAAGTACTGCAGAAAAACCAGTCAGAATGGGAAACTACACACACAATTAGAATTTACCCACAAAAATTGCTGGGAAAATGAAACATTAATCATGGGTCGAAATCAACAAAGTGAAATGAAGCCACATAAAGGAAAGGTCTAATTTTTAATAAAATAGTGGTAACCCTAAGACAAGGTACACTGCAGGGCTGGGGTACAGCTAGCAGAAGAGCACCACCTGGCACGGACAGCATCCTGAGTTCCATTCCCCCGCATTAAACAAACAAGCAAAGGTCCAGACCTTAAAGGTTTATTTTTTTAAGTGTCAAATATGTCAATAAAGTAATGGCTACCCCAAAATACACTGTCATGTGTTCCCTCATCAAGTACAAAACATGACCAACACAAGAGAAGCCATCCATCTGCACCTGATCTTCCCAGCATAGATCTAGAACCCCCAAGTCAACTCTGATTACTTTTAGAAAACTGACAAACTTAAACCTGTCACTAACTAAATGAAGAGTGAAGGGGAGAATGAAGGACCTGGAAATTGTATTCAGAATTGTTCAAGAAACTGGAGTGCTCAAATAAGAAAAAATATGAGACAGGGACAACGGTGCTGCTTAGATATCTATACAGATCTGTTTGCAACAGAGGAGAGCAACAAAACTGGAGTGAGGGTTATTCAGTGGGCAGTTGCTGCAGCTGTGTCAGTAGGTTCGGTTGCTCATGGCTTTCCAGTATTTCTATAGGTCTTCACTTGCCCTAAGTGAGATCCAAGTATTAATACAACTGACAAAAAAGTCTATATATCCACCTGAAAAGGTTCAGTGTCCCTACTCCCTCATACCAACACCAGCAAACATCAAGTCTCTGTCACCAGGTCCCCTGCTCTTCATACACTCAGGGAAGAGTGCTGAGCCACCTCTGTACTTGGTAGGCCACTCTTACCACTCCTGTGCTCTGGACTGACTTCTGGAACCATCAGTCTGCTGTTATTTAGATTGCTTTCAGCTTAGGTAGTACTAAATTTAATTTCCATCCTAAATTGTTTTGTTCTTTCAGTGTTCGGTATGCCTTTAATTCAAAGCAACACGACAAATCAGCTCCGGTGTCAGGTTTACTCAGAGAGCCCAAAACAAATACAGAGTAAATTATGATTGCCATTTCTTAGCACAGATACTGGAAAGTGAAAGTGCTTGCTAAATTTTATCCAAAATGTGTGGATTGTTAGTGAGGAGATTGATGTGATGAACAAGGTACTTGTCTTAGGATTTTATCACTGTGAAGAGACACCTTGACCACAGCAACTCTTATAAAGGGAAACATTTAATTGGGGCTGTCTTAGAGTTTTAGAGGTTTAGTCCATTATTGTCACGGTGAGAAGCATGGCTGCATGCACTTAAACATGGCGCTTGAGAAAGATCTGAGAGTTCTACATCTGGATCAACAGGTAGCAGGAAGAAAGAGTGGCCCTGGGCCTGGTTTTGGTTTCTGAAACCCTAAAACCCATCCCCAGTGACACACTTCCTTCAGTAAGACCACACCTCTCAATAGTGCCACTCCCTATGAGCCTATGGGGCCATTTTTATTCCAACCCACAGTATTTTAACAATGGTCCTGAGTGAATCCAGACCTGTGATGCTATGTATTAGTGTCATTTTATTTTCTGCAGAGATAAACAGTGAATAAATAAAGCAGAGTTGCCCAGCATTGAACTTGTAAGTATAAGAGTAATTTTTTTAAGTGATTTAGTTCATGCTGTTAGAATCTTGGGGAGGAGGGAGAGGCCATGGGAGATTAAGCACTTGGCCCTAGTATCCCAGACTTTGCACCTGTGGAGGCAAAGCGTATCAATTGAGTCAACAACAGCTTAGTGACAGAATAGGAGACTAGAAGAGCTATTTGTAAATTTCTTCATTTAGTTATTTACTTAAATTTATACTTTCTGTATCCTTGTCTATATTTATGACACTGTAGAAAGTAGAATGAGTATTTATTTGTGTTCTGCTGATTTTAGTGTAATAAAGAAGCTGTTCTTGCTGTCTGTGAAAGACACTGCTCTCCCACAGAGTTTTAAATCTGCCTACATCATATGAATTATGCCTGGAAGGAAAACAAATGCTTTATATGAGCTCCCTTATCTGGTGTTTGCTGGTGTTGGAGTAGGGACACTGAACCTTTTCAGGTGGATATATAGACTTTTTTGTCAGTTGTATTAATACTTGGATCTCACTTAGGGCAAGTGAAGACCTATAGAAATACTGGAAAGCCATGAGCAACCGAACCTACTGACACAGCTGCAGCAACTGCCCACTGAATAACCCTCACTCCAGTTTTGTTGCTCTCCTCTGTTGCAAACAGATCTGTATAGATATCTAAGCAGCACCGTTGTCCCTGTCTCATATTTTTTCTTATTTGAGCACTCCAGTTTCTTGAACAATTCTGAATACAATTTCCAGGTCCTTCATTCTCCCCTTCACTCTTCATTTAGTTAGTGACAGGTTTAAGTTTGTCAGTTTTCTAAAAGTAATCAGAGTTGACTTGGGGGTTCTAGATCTATGCTGGGAAGATCAGGTGCAGATGGATGGCTTCTCTTGTGTTGGTCATGTTTTGTTCTTGTTGAGGGAAAACATGACAGTGTATTTTGGGGTAGCCATTACTTTATTGACATATTTGACACTTAAAAAAATAAACCTTTAAGGTCTGGACCTTTGCTTGTTTGTTTAATGCGGGGGAATGGAACTCAGGATGCTGTCCGTGCCAGGTGGTGCTCTTCTGCTAGCTGTACCCCAGCCCTGCAGTGTACCTTGTCTTAGGGTTACCACTATTTTATTAAAAATTAGACCTTTCCTTTATGTGGCTTCATTTCACTTTGTTGATTTCGACCCATGATTAATGTTTCATTTTCCCAGCAATTTTTGTGGGTAAATTCTAATTGTGTGTGTAGTTTCCCATTCTGACTGGTTTTTCTGCAGTACTTAATGCTTAAGACCAAAGGTTAGCAGTCTGTGGTTCACCCAACAGTGATCTCATCTCACTCACTCACTCCCCAAGGCTTGAGTCTTCCAGCCATGTTCATTACATATCTTGGTTCTTTCTAGAGCTTTACTGTAGTTTCTAGAGCTTTAACTTCTCATGTTTTGGTTTCCTTCCACAGTTTCCTTATAAAACTGTGATAAAAATGTTAAAATTAAATAACACATATGAGAAACTCTCAACACAGTCCAAATACATTAAGTATGTACTCAAATAGTATCACTATTAATATTACATTTTTGCATGTGCATATTGTATGCATGTTTGCATGTACATTCATGCAGAGGTTTGAATCGGACCTGTTCCTTGATCACTCTCCACTGAACCAGGGTCTCTCATTGAACCCAGAAATCTCCACTTCCATCTTGCTGGACTGTTTGTCTGGGGAATCCATCTCCGAAGTTCCCCTTGCAATGGGCTGCCATGCCTGCCTGTTTTTATGTTGTTTTGGGGGTCTGAACTCCAGTTCTCAGGCTTGTAAGGCAAGAACTTTATCCACTAGCCATCTCTCCAGCCCTACTGCTCCATTTTTCATAAATAAATGGTAAGATCTGAACTAATTTGAAGCTAAGCAAACAACTTGGGTCCCACTAGGTTTAGTTTTTAGACCCTGATTTCTCTGATTCAGACAGAATGAAAAGAGAGCATGACCAAAGGTATACCATGCACATGTGAAATGTCACATTGAAACTCAGTTTTGTACAATACACACTTATAAAAACCCTAAGTTCAAACAAAGAAGATACCCAAAAGCCAGCATTTTAAATCTGTCCTTTAATAACACCTCCAAAGTACTGCTCCACTCTACAACTGCTGACTATAACAAAACCTAACAGCTGACACCAGAGTTCTGTGAGTGACTTCTCCTTTCACAGTTTCTCTAAAGTAGCCAGCCTACTCCCACCTCTGCCCCAAAGCCAAAGGCCCATGGAGATCATAGGCCCTCCTCCTCCTCCTCTTTGGAATGCCTGTCCTCCTGGTGTCCACCCTCAGGCTGCAGGCCCTGTGCCTAAACACTGTGCACGTCTGGAGTGACAGGCTTCTGACCTCCTGTGCTTCTCTGTGCCGGTCCCATTGTCTCTCACCAGCACACAAGCTCTCCAGTCAAGAAACTGGACACAGATCTGAGGAGACAACAGGCTACAGGCTACGAGGTGGAGCAACCAGCAGGGTACACCAAAGTCAACTCTCTCCAGAGACCTCAAAGCCAAAGTAGAAAGAAAGCATACCACCAACTATCAGATAAACTGTACAAATCCACTTCTGTCCTGTCAACTTAATGTATGAAACAAATGACATCTCTAGTCCAATACAAATGTGAAGCGGTAATCATAACTTAGTAGTCATGGTGCACTCACCAGCTAATGCTAATATGGAGTCTCCAATCCAATCAAGTCTTTATTTTTTTTCCTTCAAGAAAATACTACCGTCAAAATTATGCAGTTAAAAATTAAACACTCTTTGCACTAATGAACATTTATAACAATTAGTAGCATAAATCAAAGCCGAAGGAGTTCAATCAGCATACTAACATTTTTCCCTATTTAGGAAACAATGAGTGGAAAACTGTACTCATCAGAAATTTAACAAAAAGTAAGTACATAAATCTTAACGATCATGGAGTGAGCTGATGATACAGGAGATTTACTGGTTCTCTAAAATGAAGCTCCACTTACTTATATCTGACGGTTTGTACGGTTTCTGCAGACACATTGTTGACGATACATTTAGCTGCACACTCCAATCCCTGCCAGACAGTTGAAAATCCTGTGAATGTATTTAAAAGTCAGTGTCACTCAAGGCATTCAGCCTGCCTGAGCTTCTCAGGTAGGTCAGTGCCCTCCCAGAAACACAATAAAAACAACAGAACAAAATCAACCCAGGGCCTTGTGTTACCTTGAACACTACTCGCTGCCACAACCATGGCACCATCCAGAGCGGATTTCCCGTCTTTGTCTCTCTTAAGAGACTCTGGGACGAGTTTGCTTCCGTGCTTCTTGACGTGTGGGGCAAGCTCTTTGCCAACGCAATTTGCCACTGTGCAGACGCCATCAACTAGCAAACACAGAGAAAAGACTCAGAGAAATTGCTCTCCTGATTTCACCACCTGCATCAAGCCAGTTCCCAAATGGCCATCCACAATTGCTTTTCTGCATGACTGTTACTGCCTCTGTTAGCTGTGTTTGTTTTGTCTATGGAAACCCTGCCCCTCAGACAGACTTCTGTTAGAAAGAAAACCAACCATCCACTTTTAGTTGTCTGATTCAAAGAAGACGTAGTGTCAAAAACAGATAATCTTACTGAATTTAAGGAAATCTTGGGGCTATGATTCTAAAGTGTCATCTGAGGAGACAGACACAGACCTGGGCTGCAGGTTTAACTGTGGGGGGAGGAGGAGCTGCTTCATACTTACTCTTCCCTGTGAGACTGAGCTGTGGGTGAACATTTAGCCTACATGAAGCACAGGCACTTACCCAGGAACTGGCTGACTTTCGCTGCTCCTCCAGTTGCCTGCTTTGCTATGTAGAGGCCCCTGGTGACGGCTGGACTCACTTCCACCGGTTTTTCCTCTGGTTGAATGCGCTCTCGGAGTTTAGAAGCACCTTTTTGGATTGCTTTTCCAGTAAATTCAGCTCCTTTGACTAAACCCCAGCTCACCCAGGAAGCACCTTTTACAGGAGAAATTTAAAATTGCAGGGATTAGGGCTAGTTATACCTTTAAGCTCAGTAATAGATTCTAAATGGGCCATGAAAGTGCCAACTGCATACCTACAGCTTCTTTCTGAAATAAATCTTTCTCTATTGAAAAAAGATTTATTTTTATTTTATGTGTGTGTTTGCATCAATGTTTGTGCACCACAGGCATGCAGTACCCAAAGAGACCAGAAGAGGGTGGAAGATTCCCTGGAACTGGAAGTTATAGGTGGTTGTGAGCCACATGAGGATGCTGGGAACTAAACCCAGGACCTCTGCAAAGTCGCATCCAGGACCTCTGCAAAGTTGCCACCAAGGTCCTCTGCCAAATCGCCAGGGCTCTTAACCACTGAGTCATCTGTGTGGTCTGACTGAAGCCCTTTCTAACTAAGCTTTTTACTTAGGTCACACACCTTTCTGTACCAAAATTCCGTATCCCTCTTTACTGTATTACAATGTGCAGGAATCTGCTACTGATCATGCTTTTCTATGATCAGATCCTAATGTTGAATTCTGAATTGGAGTCATTAAGGCAGTATCTGGCTGGAGGAGTTAGGCAATCATGTCCTTTCTACCTTAGTTTAAAGCAACACATGCCCTTGTGAAATCCTGAGAAAGACTATTCAAGACAGAAACCAAAGAACCTATTTTGAAGACTCTTGCTTGCTTTAGGCTCAAGCATTCATTGGGTGGGGGATCCTGTTCTCTCGATCTTACACTCAACTCCATGGAACTCTGCTCCTTTCGGGATGCTGCACCTAATGATAGAATTATGAGCACACTGGAAGAGACAGGAGAGCCTGGCCTGCAGCTGTCTCAGGACACTGGCCCATCTCTGGCTTTGCTAATGCTTCCCACAGCCTGAACTAGAAAAGTTGTTACCACAGAGACATCAAGATGGCACAGCCTTGTGTAGGAGGGAAGGGCAATGTGGAAAAGGAGCTGGAGAAACACGGAAGAGCAAGAGGAGCACCCTCCTACTTTTCAGAGACTGTGCAGTTTAATCTCCCTTATAAGCAGCTCTAGAACAAAAAGCTCCAAAACACTAAGTCCATTCTCCCCAGATCTGCAGCAGAAAACACTGCAAGGTCACATGAAAATCACAGCTATTTATTCAAAGTATCAACAATTCTAAGTTGGTTGTAGTAACTGATTAAAAACTTTCTTTTTCTTGTCTCACTTAACATCCTCTCAATTTCTTACTCAAGGACCACATAGGAAGCAGGGCTGGCAGAGGACCAGCTACCACCCAGGTGAGGACATTCCCATGAGAACAAAGGACTGAGGATTTCCATCCTAAAAAGTAGGGGGTGGGGGCGCAACAGCCAAGCAGTCAAGAGAATGCTACTCTTCTAAAAGACCTGAACTTGGTTCCTAGCACCCATGTCTGGCAACTTAAAACCACTAACTCTAGTCCCAGGAGATCTGATGCCCTCTTGTACCTCCAAAGATACTGCATGCATGTGTGAGCACACACACACATAACATACACATAAATAAAAATAATTCTTTAAAAAAAAGTGATTGCCTAGAGTTCCTGACTTAGAGGTTGAAAAGTCTGGGGAAAAAAAGCTTTTTTAACCTGAATTGCAAGAACCAAGACTGAGAAAAATCACAAAATAAAAAGCAATAGAACAAATGAGTCTATAATTAGAATTATATGAAACTATAAGAAACAAAAGGAAATATTCCTTTGGGACTATGAAAAATAAATGGAAATGAGATATATGAAAAGTCATTGCTCTAAGGGCAGCCAGACCTGGATACTGAAGGCCTTGTCACCAAGCACGATACAGACACACAGGGTGAACCCAGAGACACCATAACCAATGGTAAACACGGTGTTTCATGGCAGTGCCTTAGATCCTTTATACACCTGTGTGGTGATAAATATTCACTATTTATAGTCACAGCTGCATAGGTTGCCCTCAGTATTGCTGACATGACAGATAGAAAACAATGAACAATTGCTGAGTGAATGAAAGGTTGGTGGTAACTTTGACTTATCTGGACCAAAGCTAACCACTACAGTTTCTGGACTATTATTCACTTTTACTGACATAAGAAAAATCAGTCATTTGTACTTGTACTAAAATAGAAAACTCAAATCATGGCTTCCCCCTCTGGCAAAGGGAACTGAGACCTGAGGGAAAACACATCTGACACCCTGATATGTTTTCAATTATTTTATCATAGATACTTTTAGAATACTGATGTTACTATATTTGGGCTTTGATATTCAATAACTAGATAAAGGGAAGTGATGGCACATGAGGGGTTACTGAGTCTCCAGTCACATGTCATGTGTTTCCTCACGTTTTATGTGCCCCTCCCCCCCAGTCTGTAAGTGGCCAATGTTAGTATCCCATCATCCTGAAGCCCATCAAATTATTAGATGTGTGAATGCAGTACAGTTCTCTGTGACCTGAAAGCTGCATGAGGTCCAGGTACTGCTGGGAGGTACTGTGGACCTAACTGGTGAGACCTTAAGTCAAGCCTTATTACCTCAAAGGACAGTATGGGACCTCAGCCCCTGCTGCTGCTGCTGCTCCCCAGATTCTCATCTACTCCTGTCTGGCAGTCTTATCAGAGGCCCAAAGCAACAGAGGAACCCACCCCTGGACTGCCACCTCCTAAACCATGAAACAACCTCTGGCATTCTGCTGCAGCAGCAGAAAGCTATCACACTTCTAAAGACTAACCAACTGTTTTTCATTCTCTTGAAAGGCATTTTAGACTTTGCTGCTGTAACAAACCCTGCAAAACTGTGGTTGATAAGCAGCAGAGATTGGCTTTTTGTGGCCTGAGACTTGAAAGTCCAAGCAGGGATGCTGGAGAGGCAACCCTGAGGACACTGGAAGCAAGGCAGACTCCCAGGTCTATTCACTCACAAAGGCTCCTCCCTCACAGCCCAGGCACTGCTCAAAGACCCCACTATTTTGTGACTTTGAGGGTTGGCACTTCAACATGGGGATCTTAGAGGACACAAACCCCAGAACATGGTACTGAGGGAAGGGGAGAAAGGATGAGCACTCAAGAGACAGGACTATGATTTATGCTCACATCCCTTTGATAGCTGAGGGATCCTGCAAGAACACACTTACACAGAAATGGCGACCTTCTCAGAAGCCCTGCCCATCTGTCAGTATTTTTATTAGTTACTTAACATACACACATCTATAAGCAGCACTTTTACTGGTTCAAGGTGTGACAGCCCTGTGATACCTGACAGAATGTTGTGGGCCACTTTCTCGCTCCATTCGGGGAGTTCTTTCGATTTTTCTTCTGAACTTGGCTCACAGGGCACAATCTGACTCAAATTAACTTCTTCACTTGAAGAGTCTTTAGTCTAAACAGTAAAAATGTTTCAAAATGTAAAGGTTAGTGAAATGCAAAGGAAACTGAAAGCATTATATACTAAACTGCCAACAAATACTAGCTGAGGTTATTGAAAACATCCAACTTGCTAAAGAGAGAAAACCAGAATTGTCACAAAACTGAAAAGGGTCTGGTTTTAAACAAGCTCCTACTGATGTGATGTAAGTAGAACTGTAACTCCAACACAGCATCTACTAAATAATATTCAAGCTAGCCTGTGTCTTCTCTCACTGGTTTATGACCTGTGTCACATGGATATCACTCCTCAAACTTGCATGTATATAGTACGATAAGCTTAAAAGATTAAATGACTCAGCCAATAAAGAAGGATGTACCCAAGTAAATTGGTTTTGATAGAAGAAAAAGTTCAATTTGAAACCTGAATATCTAGATACACAATGACCTGCCATTCCACTTAACTGGGAACACCAGCACTGCATAGACAACTGCAAAGATTCTGGCCAACACCCAAACTCACAGCCAAGGGCACCATTCTAAGAACCCTCAAACAGGATAACCATAGACCTCAAAGTGTCATAAAATAACTTGAAAAAAGAAACAAAGGTTTTCTGTGCCCAACAGATTACAAAGGACTTGACTTACAATGAACAAATAAATGGAAGATTGTGAAATTTATACACATACACAAACACAAACAAAACAAAATCCCCCCAAACAAACCAACACTTCTTTATTGGAGAAGAGCTACCTGCCAGTAAAATGCAAAGAAAATCTGTATCACTAGGGCCAATGTCTCCAATATATAAATCTCTTGAAGACAGAGAAGAAAAAGATTAATGACCTAAGAGTAAAAATGGGTGGAGAGGAATAGATACAGAGTACCCAACATCATCCAAAACAAAGTGAATGTAAACCACAATATTCTAAAATACAATTTCTTGACTATCACATTGCCAAGACGTAAAAAAACAAAGCAGTGACCACCCATTCTCACCCAGGCCACGAGGAATGAGTATGCAGTTCCCCTGTCTGCATGGGATCCAGTGGATGCCTGAAGTCACAGGCAGTGCTCAGTTCTGCAAATATTAGGAAATACTAGAACTAAGTTTTTCCATGCATGTGATATATAGTGTATATGATAAATTAGAAATTATCAACAAGGAATAGTAGGTAGAATAATTAAGACAATGTTTTACAAGAGCAAAAGCAGAATGAGTTTTCTTCTTCACAATTTCACAGACAATCCACTTTTCAATTATTTATTGTTTATTTGGGGAAGGAGTGCAAATCCAGAGCAAGCTCTCAGCCAACCAACAGAGGGAATATTAAAAAAAAAAAAAAGTATGTGGTCCTTAGGGTAAAAATAAAAATCTTTTGAAAAATTGAATTAGAGTCCGTCTCAAACACAAGGTGAGCACAAATGTTTGGCAACCATGTTTGGGGTTGTGACCAGTTTGTGACATGCTGTTGTGGGGTGTGGCCATCAGATTGTGGACACACTTGCCACTACCTCTTTAACTTGCCTTTTTCCCACGCTTTCCTTTACGCCGTGCATCCTTACTGCCTTGGTCTATTGAAGAACCTGAAGAACCCGCCTGCCTGACATAGGTGCCAGAAGCTTCCTTCGGTGACTCAGAGGGGTGTCTTGCTCTCCCGGGGATCTGGAATTCATCTTCTCCTTCTGCTCTATTCCAGTTTGCCTGGAGCATAAAGGACTAGGCTTAGCTCAGCTGGCCTTTACAGGACATTCCTCCAGGTACATTGCACCATGTGCTCATAACACACACGTTCAAATACCAATGTCTGACTGTGTAGGTGACTACTGTTGCTGTTTTCCTTAGTGTGTATACACATTGTGTGTGATTATCCATGTGTGTATCCATGGGTGCTCATTCCATGAAGCACATGTGACAATCACAGAACAGTCTTGGATGTTGGTCCTCACCTTCAAACCACTGTTGTTTTGAGAGGTCTCTTGGATGCTATTTGGCCAGGAATATCTTGGATTCCTGGAGATCTTGCTGCCTCTGCCCTGCTAGCTTGACAGGGCTGTGCTGGGATTACAGATGCCAGTGCTACTGTGTGCAGCTTTTAGCTGGATCCACTCTGGGATCCACTCTTCCTCCTTGTAGGGCAGGTGCTCTGCCCTCTGAGCCACAGCCCTAAATCTTGTTTTCTTCTATCTAAACTTCTGTTTCACTTCCTTACCAAACCTTAAACCTCTTGAGTTCTTTGAGTTACACAATATGGCTGACAGTGAAGTTCAAAAGAAGAGGTATAAAAGACAACCACTAGCAGTTGTTCATGTAGGTTACCTTTAAAATCGATACTGCTACTTTTGGATTTAATTAATACAATAATAAATCTGAGGAGACACAGCAAGATGAGAATGTGCTCAAGGGCTAGGAATGAACAAAGCTCATTTTTAACTGCACTATACTGTTGGAAGGAGCCAAGAGTCTGCATCTAATGCCACAGGTACTGTGGTGGTACATACTCTGCTGAATGAGCCAAATGTTTATATGTAAAAATCAGAGCCAATACTTCTAGTTTACAACTGACATTCTACAACAGCACAGAAACTAAAAATAAAATAGAGCCAAAGCATAAAATTAAATACAGCAGCATCCTGCAACCCTGGAGTCTACTTAATTTCTTTCCTAAAGCCAGACAGCGAAGGCCCACAGAGGTGAGGCCAAAGGAGTCCTGTACTAGGCCTGTGAGCACCTACAAGTTACTGCAGTGAGCATGGTTGTTTCTTTGTCAGCCTCACGGCATTTAAAACTACTCTTGAAAGCATGAACTGAATAAATTCTTCCTCCTCTGGGGACAAAAAATTAACATGCACATGACCAAATCACTTTTTATTTGACCTTCATTCACCATGAGAATAAAAAACATTGTGTCCACCAAAATCTCTCTTGAAATACCATTCATACACCTGACATGTCCAAATCTACTAAAGCAGAACTATCCTCAGAATTTTACAGCTTAAGCCAACCTCACTGTAAATAGTAGTAAAATAGGCACCGTTCACTGGGCAGGGCCACGGCTAGATTTCGATGAGAGCTTCAGTTCCCACCACTGCCCAGTGACGTGCACATTATCCCTGACCCAGTGTTACATTGAGAAAACTACAGGCAGAGCAGGTTGGTAACAGCTGAGGCTAACAGCTACCACACAGTGAATTTAACTCCAGTGCCCATAATCTGAACAACCAACAGCAGACGACTTTTGTCTCTATGTCATGAAGAAGAAGAAAAATCTCCCTGAAGCATGTTACTGGTCTTTGAAATCACATCTTTGGTGCTCAAGTTAAAGTCAGTTTACCTAAGATTTGGGTTACCTGGAGCCGAAGGTCAGACATCTGCCTCAACAGATCTTCAAACAGCTCCCTGTCATCTTCTGGGAGCTCAGATGACAGAACAACCCCTACAAAGCACCCCGCAGCTTGTAACATGGTGTCTGGAAACATATAGGCTCCCACAGTGCACTTCAGAACTGGTGACCTATCAGGAACTAGAGGGTACAACCAGTCACACACCTGAAAGAGTCAAGAAGAAAACTCCATCAGCGAATGGGTCTCCAAAAGATTGTTACAGTAAAAGCAAATCTGTCAGAGTTTGATGCATTTGATGGTTTTATAGACCATCAGTAACCCCAACTTAAATAAACCATCCTCTACCTTGACCTTCCTGCATTACAAACAGCTGCAAATGTTCCACTCATATAGTCTTACAGCTAGTGGGGTTACTTAAGGGCTCCTATATTTGAGTAAAGATGATGCTAGCTTTAGATAAAATGTAAACCAAGAGCTGATTATTCTAACTAGATCCCTTTATAGCACGAAATAATTTTCTAGTACAGTATCTGATATACCTTTAATCCTCACAGCATTCTATCAATCTGGCTAGTCCTTTTCACTGTGAACTGGTAAATAAAACTATAAAGCTGTACATGCTAACAGAGTAACCAGTAATGTTTTGGTGAAGTTAAATGTATCACATCCTCAGAAACCCATTATTTCTTCACAGTGAAAACTCAAATCTCTTCTAAAAGCACAGCATTTCTCCTACACCCTATACAGGCACAGCTGGTCATTCCTTATTCAGCACCCACTGACCAACCCTTTCCTCTCCCCCATCTACTTTCCCCACATGCATGGCTTTTAGTAACCATCACTCCACTCTCAGTCTTCCGATCATGTGGTACTTGACCCTCTGTGTCTGGCTATTTTCACTTAACAAAATGACCTCCAGGGCATTTGTGGTGCACAGTATCCTACCTATACACACACCACATTTTTTTTTTTATCCCTATGAACAATTAGGTTGTTTCCATTGTGAAAATGGTGAGACACAGCCAGGTCACTAAGGTTCTCAGCACTGACCACTAGAAAGTACAGCTTGCACCTGAGCATGTACTTTGTGTCAAAAATAGAGTTGTTACTTAGGTTTTGCTTTGACAAGTGCCCAGGGAACCTGACATTTCACACACAGAGCAGAACACTGTATGTCACTGGGGACTGGGACACTAAAGCCAAATGATTCTGTACTACCACCTGGGGAGGTCAGCTTGTCCCAACACACAGACTTAAGCTCATATTATCCTGGCTATCCAAACAATTCCTGAATGTATTCCTTTCTCTTGTATTACACTCTCTAGCAAATGAAGTATAACTGTCCCATCCTTAGACTACCATCCACCATGAAGACACCCAAAGGTGTCTGATCAATCTACAGAAACAAAGGGAACTGGACACATCGCCCCCTTCTGAACAGAAGAGGAAGACAATGTGCAAAGACCACACTGCTCAAGGCTGACTCCTGGAAAGGGCCTGAAAAACATTTTCAGCCCCCCCCCTTTTTTTAAATGAATTTTCTTCTCTATCTCAAAAGCCATCAATTTTTACTATAGTAAAATTCATGTAGTTTAGAACAAAGCTAACTACAATGTTTTCTAAAGTATGAAGTTATGCCAGGGAACTCAGAAATCTTTTAAAAAAATTACTTTTCCTAATTAATAATGATTTTTAGAGCATAGGCGATTTTACCTAAATTCTAATAGACAGCTGTGTTACTACCTGTTTTTTGTTTGTTTTTGTTTTTTAGGATAAATACATTCATTAGACACTCCAGAACACTGCTACAAACAAATAGCTAATATGGCAGCTGATGTGGGGTGCACTTCTACTTTTTATTTAGTACCCAAACACAAGGTATGTAAAACATTAAGAACCAAATTAAATCAAATAGGACAAGATAAAGTAAGTGCTGGTGGAGTGAGAGCATCTTCGTATCTGAGATCCAGCAGCCAAGGGCCATCTTTCTGATGCTCTCTTCCTGCACCTCCCGAGTCAAGGACCCAGAGATCTCTTAGGTCTAGTGACTATGCAACACTGTTAACCAGACCAGCAGAAACTCTCTGCGACCCCTCCCCTAACCGCAGTCACCAGCTTGCTCTTTTTTAACCCTAATGCTTCTTCCGTGAGAGAACTGAGTCAATTCTTCTTGTCCAGTAATCAATCTTTCAACTGTGCCCCAAGAATCTGTTTCCACATCTGATTAGCTTCCAACTGTTGTTAAATGACTTCCATAAGAACAAGGGCAAAGTAGCATGAAAATTGTAGACAGCCAGTGCCTAGCTAAATTACCTTATCTGACTCTGGCTGGGCACAAGCAATAGCTTTGTTTAAACAGTGATCTCTCTTCCACACAAACCTAATGAATGTATACTGTGCCCCAGTTTTCAAGAGCGCATCTCCTGGCACCTACATGCAACCTTCTCACAGCAGATTGTTGCTGGACTGAACCTGAGCAGACACCACTAAGCCCCCAGAAAAGCCCTGACACACGTTACTTCTTCTCGTTAGTTTTTACTCTTGGACCATTCTGGTCAACCTATTTGCATTTCAGCCCCCGGAGGCCAGGGCTTCTCAACCTCCATTTGACTGAGGTTTAGGGATGGACAATTTTTTCCTGATGGGCTGTACTGTGTGGCCACTGAGCAGTTTCACTGGTTGCTGTGATACACCGGGTAACCACCACCCTTCAGCTGTAAGGAAAACACTCTGAGACACTGTTAAAAATGATCCCTCAAGGGGCAACACTGCCTCTCTTCCATGTCCTGTGTGATGACATCAGCCTGGAATTTACTGTCAGGGCCTAGAGTGGTTTGAGGCCAGTTCCCCCCCCCCCCCCCCGTGGGTCTTGATATTCAGTCTCATGATTCCCATAAATACCTTTTGAAATTTAAGTAACTACAAGTCTTCTTCAGATAAAAATTAAAAAAAAAAATCTCTCTTAGGTCCTAAAACCAACCACAAATAAAATCCAAACCAGCTTTCTAACATTAAAAACAGAAGAAATCCCAGCAAACTAAACATGGATGTATCAGAACTCAGTAGAAATGCGTTTCCTTTAGCTCTTACCCTGTGCGGTACAAACATCAACAACAACAACAAAAAATGAGATAATCTACCTGTTTCTTGGCTTATGCTTGCACGTTGCTTCAAAGAGCTTACCTGGAGAAACCCAGGAGGGCGGTTCAGAACCGTATCCAGAGAATTATCCAAGAACCTCACGATGCGCAGGTATCCGGGGTATGAGGGAGCGCTAACCTCTCCTGCAGGGTTTACAAAAAAGATCTGCACTCCGTTCGGTATCAAAATCAACTCGTCTGCATCGAGCCCCAAGGTCTCGAGAGGGGGCGGCTGGGAATGGTTCCTATAGAAGTCTTCTCCCACGGAGGAAAACTCCCCAGAGTCTGTTCCATAGGAAACAGTGTAGTGACCCTCGGCAGCCTGGAGGGTGTAGGCTGGGGGCGCTTCGGTGGGACAGCTGGGTAGGGGCCCAGCAGAGAGCGCAGCACTTGGCCCAGCGCTTGCGGCACCTGCAGCAGAGGCACTCCCATCTACTTCAGCATGCTGGGGGGCTGAACTATCCGAATCTGGCTCTGGGGACTTCTTACATGTATCCTTAGGAGGGAACTCTGGGTATAACTTAGGCACATCCTGAAGATCATTCCGCAGAGATGTGGCAAGGCCCTTCTCTAGAATCTCTAGCCTGGTGCGGACGTTCTGAAGTGTTTCCTTCATTTTCTGTTGCATCTGCCTGGCTGACTCCCACGCGGGGCCTGTGCACCCTGGCTCTGCAGCCATGATACTGATGCCCCTAAGCAGGTGTCCTATTCCTTGCTTGTAGTAGTTCTTTGCTTCCTCCTTCTGCCCTAACTCATCCGTGTTCAGTCCTTTATTAACAAACAAAAAGGCCTTCTCGTATGCTTCCTTGAGGATCTTAATCTCAGCGGGTTCTCCATTGTCTGGCTCTTGCTCCATCTCTGCAAGACAAGAAACATCACCTGCCATTACCCAGTTAGTGTTTTGTGTACTTAGCCCTGTTTCCTACGTGAATATATTTCAAGGACAGGGTCTGCCTCACTGATCTCTGTCCTGCTCCCAATCCTTCAGAGAGAGCCTTCAGCAAGTACTTCATAGTTGATAAATGAATGTTCTTGGTGGTCCTAAAATACTGTAAAGGCTGGAGAAGTGGGTCAGAGTTCAGCCCCAGGGGACTAACCCCAGGGCGGGGGAGGTAGATCCCTGGAGCTCACTGACAGGCTTTGTAGTCTACTTGGTCAGCTACAGATCCTATCTCAAAAGTTAAAAACAAGGTGATGCACCACTACCTACAGCTCACCTCTTAGGGGAAAATATCCGTAAGATAAAAGATATGCATATACCCAAAAGGACACCCCCCTCAAAAAAACGAGCTTTTAACAACTACACATAAAACAGCTGGAAAGTAAACTCGGTGGAGAGAGAAAAAGTTAGTTAGAGAAAATGCCCAGAATGGAGAGCAATGAAATAAAAAGATGAGCAACGGGAAACAAGAATGAAATTAGGACTTTGTCCAGAGGGCCCCATGTGAACCATAAAATGCTCTAAAAAGTGGAATAGAGAAAATACGGATGAAAGAGTAAAGGGAGTAATTCACTGAGAGCAGATAAATCCCAAAGAGGAAGCACAGATTCCTGAGTTTAAACAGAGCTGACAGAGCTGGAAAGCAGGTTCAGGGGGACATTAAAGCACAGGGTGAGAGGCCAACCTGGGGACAGTTATTTGCACACTGCACTCGGTGAGTGGAATCCCAGGGCTGAAGATGGGATTCCCAGGTTGGTTCCAGAGTGACATCCAGACTGGAAGACACTTCAGTAAGTATCCAGGAAATAAAAACTGACAATGTCTGGTGTGTTTCTAGGTTTTAGGAAAGATTTATACAACCCTGGGAAAATTCAGGATTTAATTAGTAAAAATGAAAAATTGCAGAGATAAAAATCAAGATAATTAGTAACTCCAGATAGAACATGCCAAACAAAAACCATGAAGTAATCAGGGCATATTCTGTTTTTCTTCGTGTCATAACATTGAAAACTGCAGCAAACTGGACTGAGAGAATGGGAAGATGGGTGGATGGAAAGTTTGTGTGTCAGGATGAAGGAGCTGAAACCTCTTCAGTGGGACTTTAACTGTAAAACAAAAAGTAGCCATGTTATTATACTGCTGAGAGATACGGAAACACCAAGAATTGGGTCAGAAAACCAATCTAAGCTGCCTTTGGAAAGAGAGAGGCTGGCTTTCAAAGATATTTAATTCTTTATGTACATGGTGAAAGGTGAGTTACTTACTTTACAAAATAAATACAAGCCTTGCAGCAGCCTTGTCCAGAAGGATTACAAAATTAATTTTTATTTTCCAGGAACCACTAACAAAAGTAAAAGAAAACAGGTGAAATTTCAATGATAGCTTTTATCTAATACAACCAAAGTATTATTCTGACATGTATAAAAATGATTTGTGGAGTACTTTTCTTTGTGTTATATCTTCCAAAGACAGCCTTTGCTGTACTTCAAAGTGTATGTCAAGTCCAATATACTCTACAGCAAACGCTCAACACCCACATGTGCCCGTGCTTAGCACTGTGCTCTCTGTACAGCTTCTCAGGACAGGAAGAAAAATCAAGAGACAGAAGAATATCTCCATAGCTGTCTACACAGTGAAGATGCCACAGACTTTAATAGTCAGACTTCTCAGAACTGAAAATCAGACAGGCCAATAGCTGGCCCAATCACAGCAACTTCATGGTAGTGGACAGAACACACACAGCCTCCAATTCAGAAAATACCACATACAAGTGGCCACATACAAACGGGTATTTGCCCTATCCCAGTGTCACTACTGAAATTAACCCTGCACTTTCCCTGGAATTATATCCTGCTATGTCATCATAATGCCACAGGCTTCAATAGATCCCAACCACTTTCTCCTCCCAGAAGCCACAGGACAAACATTCCATAGTTCATTTTTCTTGGGGCCCAAGGAGGCATGGACTCAGAAGTGTACAACCTTCCAAAAGCATCATCTACCATCTACATAGTGCTGGGCTGCTTTCATGGCTATCTATGCTGGGCTGGGTGTGGTTTCGGGGCAGCCAGCTGGGCTCCTGTGCTTAGAAGAAACAGTGAACCAAGCACTGTCCAGTCATATTCTCAAGGAAAATGATTACTGTAGGTCTTGAGAAGATTGAAAAGTTGTTAATGATTTCATATGCTTTAATTCTCAAAGTTTGGAAAAGAAAAGCCTTTGGAATGTCAGTCTGAAGTATTAAACAGTGCTTCACTAGCTTGATATTCAAATTATCAAATCATGAACCAATACCCGATTCTAGATAACAATGGTGGACTTTTAAACATTTTTCTTTTCTTATCCTTGTGTGAACAAATCTGCAGGTGAAAAGTTGGCAGACATGTGCCCCAGGGCCTAGGGAGGTCAGATGACAACACTGGGTGTTGTTCACTCTAAGAAGACAGGTTTTGTTTTTGGTTTTGGGGTTTGTTTGTTTTCTCAGCTCCATAGACAAGGCTAGTTTCTGGGAAGTCTCTTTCCTCTGCCTTCCATCTCCCAGTAGGAGGGCTGAGATTACAGTTTTACAGTTTTTTTGGGGGGGGGAAGAGGGGGATCTGAACTCAGGTCCTCCTCAGGCATAGCTCTTTAAACTTTGCCATCAGCTTGTTTAAACATTCTAATAAAAAATTTCAGATGCACCTATTTCAAACACAGCTATATGCATGTGTGTCTGTGGTTCACTTTGTACTAGCACAAGTAAAATTCTGTTTCAAAATACTTGGAAACTGGCTTCCATTCTATGACAGAAAAGGTAGCAAACAATGGTGCTCAAGGGAAACACAGCTAGCAACAGAAGTTCTAAAGCCAGCATGCCTTGTCTGTTAAAAAAAAAAAAGGGGGAAAGGGAAGAGTTTGTTATTTAAAATATATACCGGCAAGTTACATACAGACATTTACAGGGCACAAAGTGATAGTGCAGTCTGACTTTTGAACTATACTAGTCTTTTAAAGGTTTGTTTTTATTATTTTTAATTCTGCTTAATTCTGCACATGTGGGGAGGGGCAGCTATGTGCACTGGAGTATAGATACCAAGAGACATTGGATCCCCTGAAGCTGGAATAAGAGGCAGTTATAACACAGATATGGGCCCTGGGAACTGAACTTGGGTCTTCTGCAAGTGAAGTACCTATTCCAGGGTTGAGCCATCTCACCAGCCCCATTATTCTGATTCTTTAAAAAATGAAATATGGAATGATGAAATAAAGCTAATTAGCTTACTCAAAACCCCAGATATATGATATTTAAAAAATGAGACAGCTGAAATTCAGTCCCACTGATGTGTACAACATTCCATGATTAGCTACAGTCAGCAGACTGAACTAAGATCCAAAAACTACATCACTTACTCCTATCCTGGTAGGGAACATGGGGAACTAAAACTCCGGGTGGGTTTCTATTCGACTCCTGTACCATTCTAGCCAATTCTGGCTTGCTAGAGAACTGTATGTTTCAGAAAGCACCACGCATGGGCAGCAAACCACATTCCACATTAGTACAGAGGTTTCCTGTTTCAAACAAGTCCTCCACGACCATCGATTAAGACGGTCAGAAAAGAGCACGGACCAAGAGCAGTTCCCTAGGAACTAGGAGTACTCTTCTACTGACTTATTATTCGCCTAATTGCTTCTGTAAATTTTAAGATAGTTGCTAACTTCTTAGATATCCGAGGGTCATTTTATCGAGATTTAAAAAAAAAAGGAAAAATTAGAAGGCAAAATCGTTAAGTGTATAATACAACAAGGCAAACCTCGAGGACCATCAAGAAATAACACAGCCATGGGAGTAACGGAGCCAGCCATACACTAACGCAATAATGCCGCGTCACAAAACCGTGCGCATTCCCAGAGAAAACTTTTTCCAGATATGAAGTTAGGCCGCAGGGGTCCTCAGAGACGCTGAATGCCAGTAACCAGTCTATTCCAATGAGCAAACCCCCACGCCATTCATTCCCAGTGCTGTGGCTCCTGGAGCTGGCTGCCCACCCATGGGCAAGCTGTAGGCCCTGGGGAGCGAGAAAGCCAGTGGGGTCTGGAAAGAGAACCGTGGAGGACGCACACAGGGATGAATAGGGAGGGATCAGGGATGGGAGGACTCAGATTAGGAATCCGCAGGGACCAGGTATGGAAGGACTCACAGGGAACAAGCGAGTACCAGGGCTGGGAAGACCCGCACTGGGATGCGCGGCGTCCTGGGGTGGGAGGATCTAAGACCTGAGCGCCACTCCCGGGGCCAGCACTCTGGAGGGTGCAGGGAGGGCGAAGGCTCCTTCAATACTAGCTGGAATACCCTCTGCAGGACTTCTGGAAACTTCTGCGGCAGAAGAGCTCCCTGCAAGATGCCGGCGTGGCGCGGGCCGCAGCCCCCCACAGCCCGCGGCGTACCCCGGGTTAGTCTGGCTCACAAAGCCCCGAGTGACGCCCTCTGTGTCCGGGCCCGCCCACGCGTCACCACACCCGCGCCGAGCTGAGCTTTTGCCCACTCTGACCTTCCAGAAAGCGCACCGGAGGCCAGCGGTCCGCTCCGAGCCCGGGAGCCCACTGAGAGAGCGCCGTACACGCCCGACACACTCCGGTCCCAGCCAGGCCCGGGCCACGTCGGACCGCGCCTGCGCACTCCCTACCGGCCGCCCTGGGGCCGCTGAAGGGACCGGCACAGCCACGGGCGATGACAGCTTCTGACCGCCAGGGGGCGCCCTGGGTCGAGCATTGAGGACGTAGAGAACTAATGTTGACTGGAGCCTGGGACCCTACCTGACCTGTCATCCAAAGAGTTAAGTCTGTTGTGACACAGAGAAAAACTAGGACGGGGAATGGAGAGATGGTTCAGCAGTGAAGAAGAGGTCATTATTTCTTACTTGAATCTATAATGCATAAAGAACATACCTCAATGCTTTATAAAAGCAAAAAATTGAAAGTGAATAAAGGGTTTGAGTAACGATTTCTTCAGACAAGATATTCAGACCACCAGAAACAGCATCAGAAGATGGTCAATACCATAAGTCTTCAGGCTTACATCAGAATGAGGTGTGACTTCTGTTTCCTTAGAATGGCTGTAATCAAAACATAGGCAGTAACAGGTTTGGCAAGATGGTTCGAAGCCCTCCTGCATCACTGGTGGGAATTGTAAGCAACCAAAAACAGCACATCAAATCTACCCTTAGAACTGTGCCAACAAGTACTCATTTGTCTTGATCCAAATAGTTGAATGGGTATTATAAAACTCCTTTTACTCTCTTGACATCACCTGTAGTCACCTAGACAGACTCTCAATGGGGGATGGTCTGTGTTAAGTTGATGTGTATGTATGCGGGCCCACTGTGGGCAGCACCATTCCCTAGGCAGGGAGTCCTGAAAGGGTGGAGAAAAATTGTGCTGAGCCCAAGCAAGCAGTCAAGTGAGCATGCTTGTATGTATGCATTCATTCTTTTCTCTCTGCTCTATAACGTAGATGGAATATGCCTAGCTGTTTGAGGTTCCTGCTCACTTCCTCACCACAATGAACTGTTAACCTAGAATAGTGAGCTAAACCAAATCCCTTTCTCCTACAAGTTGCTTTTTTGATGAAATGTTTTCTCACAGCAACAGATGAAACTAGGACACACTCCTGTTTGTTTTATTTAGATGAATCAGGCAGATTTTATAACCGCATCCTTCCTCAATTCATTGAACTGCTTTCAAATTATATGCTCCAAATCACTTTACAATGCCATATCCACACTGTGTTGATGCAATAAGTCCATTTCTTCAGGCAATAAAAAAATTGAATCATTTGACTGAAAAACTATTTGCTACCAACTAATTATATTTATTCACTTACTCGGTTTCTAGGAACTACTTCAAAATGGTTTTACAAAGATTGACAGTTTGGAGTGGTTGTGACCTGGTATTTCCAGTATGCCATGTTCAATTTAATGTCCCCACCGGAGTGGTTGTGACCTGGTATTTCCAGTATGCCATGTTCAATTTAATGTCTAAATACCCTCTAGTGGTATTTAGAAGGAGGAAGCACCCACCGTATTTGCCACCATCCTCATAACACCCTACCTTCAGCAACACGTAGGAGTGGTAGGAGGAGAGATGCTGGGTGGGGCTAGCTCACCAACTACTGGCCACGGAGACTGTTTTTGGCCAAAAAAGTCTGGGGTGGTTTCCAT